GCATCACCCTTCCCCGTTCCTTCCTTTATTCCCTGCTTCTTGGCTGCCACTATGTGAACAACTGTCCTTTGCCAGACCCTTCTATTTCTGCCCTTCCTGCCATAGAACCACCTGACTATGGACGGAATCCTCTAAAGACTATGAGCCAAAATCAATCTGTCCTTAAAGTTGTACATGTTGGTATTTTGTCCCACTGATAGGAATGACTAAGACACTGTGGGTTCATTCACAATTTATTTCAACTTGCTAAGTTTGCCTGCTCATCTGTAAAGGTGGATTAATTAGACTTAGTTCATAATTAATCTTGCACTGGAATGTAACATTTTCATCAAAGATGAACTGGAATATATGATGGTAGGTGGGCTCCTAAATTATAATGGAGCTAAAAACTTTGTCACCTAATGATGCTGATAGCCATGGTAACATATAATGCCATACTATACTCATGGTGATGGTGGTATAAACAAATCTAACACACTATCAGTTTTTATAAACATATGGTATCATGTACAGTATCTGATACTTGATAATGATAATACACAAATTTGTTCCTGGTTGGTGTATTTACTGTACTACACATTATTGCCATTTCACAATGTGATCCTTTTTGTAAGAAGTTTACCGTGCACCACAATGCCATGTCACCTGGTAACAGCGTCATATATCTTGTGTTTAGCACACCTGCTGCATTATTTTCTCTGTCAATGATTTAATCTAAAATTCTATTCATCATGATCACAAGAGCCATAAACTATCTATTATCTATCTATCTATCTATCTATCTATCTATCTATCTGTTTTATCTATCTATCTCTCTATCTGCTACAAAGTATCACTATGTAGCTGCAGTTGTCCTTGAATTCACTCCGTTGCCCAGACTGGCCTAAAACTTGCAGTGATCCTCCTGCCTCACCCTTTAAAGTTCTTGGATTACAGGAATGTGTCACCACACATGGCTATACACTATGTGTGTTTAACTCTGTAACATCATAAATATATTTTTACCTAAAATTTTTTATCATTTTGTCTGTCATGGTTAAGCCATTGATAGTTTTCAATGGTATTTGAATATGATGTGATCCACTTTTTAATTTTTCCATTTAGATAAGCAATAATTTCAGCTCTACTTACTGAATGATATTATCCTTTCCAGGAATTGCCAAATTATCATCAGTAAAGTATGCAGTGCTTTCTTTCTGAATGACATCTTCATATAGGTGAGGGTAGAATTGATGCTAATTTTCTCTGTAATGCAATAATATATTGTTTTAACTGATGTAGCTCTATAATATTGTAATCTTGATATTTCATAAGGCAAGAAATCCAATTTATTTTCTATCAAATCAAATATTCTTCCTGCATTGCTTTTTCATATATACTTGAAAATATGCTTCTGACATACAACAGAATGTGAAGATTAGCTTTAATTTAATAAAGCTATTTGATGAGAATTGATGTATCTCTGATGTTTTGTGTATGTATCAAAAATGTAATATTCTTGCTATTTATTTAGGTCTTATTTAATGTCCTTTAGAAAAATATTAGATATTATTTGACATTTTTTTCCTTGAAACTATTTCCATCTATTTATTTGTCATTACTGTTGTTATAATTATCTTTTAGAACTCACATTTTCTAGATAAAATTTGCTTTTCAAAGGATCCTAAACAGGTAGATAACCTAATAGTATGAGTAGTGTAGTCATTACCATGTCTGGGATGCTTGAGAGGGGTGATGAGAAAATGTTAGTCACAGGCACAGAAGTAAAGTCAGGGAAATAACTTTCAGAGGCATATTGTATATCAACATGACTACAGTTAATGGTTATATACTTTTATACATTTTATAGGTAAACTTTAGATCTACATAATAATCACATCCTTCATAGGGTATTTCTGCCTGTACATGATATATCTTAATTCCTCTTTGTTTCCCATTTCCCTTCCCTGTCTTCAAGCCCTCTTCTCCTCCTTATTTACAAAGCTTTATTTCCATTTTATGTTTCTTTTCTCATTTTTTCTTTTTTCTTCCTTTCTCTTCCCTTCCTACCTCCCTAGTTCCTCTCTCCTTTTGAACATTTTTTCCTATTTCACAATATCTGTTATGCATCTTTTTTTTCTGTTATGCTTCTCTGTCCTTAGTTACTTTCAATTTCTTCCACCAAAGAAACAATGTGATATGTACAAATGTGTGTCCAATTTATTTCAGTTAAGAATATAGCCTCACTGGGGCTGGAGATGTAGCTCAATGGCACAGCACCAGCCAGGCAAGGAAGAGGTTCTCAGTTTGATTCTTGGTACAAAAAAAAAGAACATAGCCTCAAGGTGCATCCATTTAGCTATAAATGTGTCATTTACTCTTCTTTATGGCTGAATAGTACTTCATTGTATAAAAGAACATCTTTTTTATCCATTCATCAGTTGAAGGTCATTTGAGTTATTTCCAAGATTTAGCTATTACAAACTGTTCCATTCTAAACATGGGGCTACATAAATACCTGTGGGATGATACCCTCAGCTCCTTCAGTAAGATACTCAGAAGGGGAATAGCTGGGTCAAGCTGGACCTCAAATCCTATTTTTTTGAGGAATTTCCACACTGATTTCCACAGTAGTTGCACAACCCTACACTTTCACCAAGCATGAAGAAGGGTTCCTTTCTCCCCACAGCCTTGTCAGCATTTATTATTGCTTAATTTCTTGATAATAGCCATTCTTTCAAGAGTGAGATGGAATCTTGGCATTTTTTAAAAATTTTCATCTTTGGAATGACCATTGATTTTGGGCATTTTTTCATATAGTTGTTTGCCATTTCTACTACTTCATCTGACATGTGTACATTCATCTCAGATGCCCAATTTTCAATTGGGTCTTTACATTTAGGGGGTCTGATTTTTTTTCAATTCTTTATATATTCCAGATATTAGTCCTTTCTCTGAGGCCCAACTGGCTAAAATTTTTTCCCACTCTCTGGGGGTGTGTTTTCACTCTATGTGGCGGTTTCTTTTGCTGTACAAAAGCATTTTAATAAGATGAAGTTAGAGTTGTTGATTCTTTGTAGTATTTCCCATGCAGTCTGGGTTTTGTTCATGAAGTCTTTGCCTATACCTGTGTCTTCAAGAGCTCTACTTATTCTCTCTTCCAGTAGATTAAGTGTTTCTGTTTGAATATTTAGGTTTTATCCATTTGGATTTTAGTTTTGTGCATGATGAGAGACTTCGATTTGGTTTTAATCTTCAGTATGTGGAAAGCCAGTTTTCCCAGCACTATTTATTAAGAAGGCTGTCTTTCTTCTAGTGAAGGTGTTTGGCACCTTTGTCACAGATAAGATTCTAAGTGTCTTTGGGGTTGCTTTTGCATCTTCTAATCTGTTCTATTGATCCTTGGGTCTTTTTTTGCCAGTACCATGTTGTTTTTATAATAGTACCTCTGTCATATAATTTGAAGTCAAGTATTGTGATGTTCCCTGCCTTGCATTTGTTGCCCAGAATTGTTTTTATTATTCTAGGTCTCTTCTGGTTCCAAACTAACTTTAAGTATGTTGCCTCTTGATGTGTAATCTCCTATAGGACATTCAGTCCTCAAAAAACTGGAAAGTGGAAGTACTTTCATACTCATGAAGGAGCATACATAGTGTCTGCTGGCTCCTATCTATTCTCCATATCATATTTTGTTTTACTTTTATGGTACCTGGAAAACTTTATCTTACTTACTTTTTATCATTCTCTTTTATGGCATATAAAATTTAACTTTGCTCTATAAGGTAATGGATGTCTTTATATATTTTAGCCATTATTTATTGTTTTGGAAAGTGAATAAATTTAACATGGTGAACAAAGACACTGTAATGTCTTAAATCAAGAATTACATATCTTGTAGATTATAAATTCATATATTTAATGTT